AAGTCTAGCTTACATGTAAATGACCTCGGCATCCTTCAAAAACTAAGTCAATCAAATCGAAACATAGTTTTTTATCTTTGGAAAAACACGCTGGGCAACTACCAGGTCTAGGCCGAGGTCCCACACCTCCTTGCCGAGGTGTAGCCTCGATGGCCACATTCAAAAGCGAAGTCGGGAAAAATCTGGGTTTCCCTCTTGATAAACATGAAGAACATGAGCATGAAGAACTTGAAAAACATGAACACGAGGAAGATGAATGCAAAGATCAAAACTTGCTATTATAACAGCTGGGACTTCATACTATGAATTCAAAAACATAGACCTGGGTACCCACACTCAAGGATCTTATCAAAACAAACACAAAAACATGAGCTTTAATGCAAACTTTCGGATCAAACGAGGCTTTTCTTCAAAAACACATGAAAACCGTTTTCTCTTTCTAAAATCAACTTTAAATCGATGAATGGCATGCGGAACAGGTTTGATCGTGCAATGCAGCTAGTTGATCAATACGAACAACAAGAACAGGTTACGATTCTAACCTCAAAACTCGAATCTAACGGCTCAAGCTCCAACGATCAAGCTTGGAAGTTCACTCTCTCTAGCTTAAACTTCTTCTTCTTCTTCCTTGAGTCTCTCTCTCTAAAAGGCAAGACTTGATACAAATGATATGTTTCTCACGACAATCACTGACTTAATCCCTATGTCGGGACACGTGGCATCGGCTGATTGGCACTATCGAAAAAGGTGACTGACAAGACAAGACATGACCAAGACAAAGTGTACTCGACAAGCTAGGCGGCAAGAACACACCGGCAAGTAACGACATCGGCTAACAGCAAGATTTCGGCAAGTGAGGATCTCGGCTAAGGCAAAGCTTCGGCAAGCAGGGTAACAATGACATCGGCTTGGAAGGACAATACTTGACTAAGCTGTGCCGCACTTTGGCCTAGATGTGCTACACCTCGGTCTAGGTCATACCACTCCAGGAACAAAATCACTTATACAAGGATCAAGGATCTAGGATCTAGAATGCGTAGATATTAACACCTCGGCCCAGATGATGCACATCTCGGCCTAGGCGACGCTCACCTCGGCCTAGATGGTGACATCTCGGCCAATACACCAGGGTGAAGATGGGTGCCAACCAACGGGGTTCCAAGATAGTTCTAAGTGACAAAGGTTTCGAAGGTGTCTAGGCTTAAGATGACCTCGGCAACACACCAGACAAGAACAAAGCGTGCAAGCAATCATTCAAGCAAAACAAGACAAGATTTGCAAATGCACATATTAAAACAAGATCATCCATAAATGTATGCAAGTATGACTAAGTCAAAATGAGGGTTGTTACAAAAGGAGAGGGGTGAGCCATTGCCCGGTGAATAGTAATAGAGTAATGCAGCAAATGAATGAACATTGAAAGCTTTAAAAATTCTTTCAAAATAACATATTCACTTGTACAAGACAAAGCATAGCTTGACTTGCAAATAAAATATATATAGTGATGAGCATTTCAAGGATTACAAGGTGCTTAACTGGCCCGGGTACCATCTAAACGTAATAAGATGAGCTCGGCCATAATACATGATTGGATATTCTCCCAATTGTGGGACATGATCCAATAATGCCATCTAGGTACGTGATATAAGAGTATAGAATGTTCATTCTTAGTAAAACATATCAAGCTTGTAAACATAATCAAGTTTTCATTGAAAACATAATTTCACAATATAGTGTTACTGAATTACTACTCACAAATAGCTTGGCTAGACTAGGGTTTTCCCTCCAAGACTTGACGTACACAAAACAATAGCAAATATTGAAGCACTTGCCTACTCGAATAAGCTTAACAAGTCGAATGCTTACTTTGTTTAATTAAATTTCTTTCATCTCTTCATTGTTTTCTTTAGCTTACTTTAATATTTCTTAATTATTTTCTTAGCAAGAAATGAAAGGAAACTAAGGGCTGGTTTGACATGTTTGAAAAAAGCCAAAAAGTCCCTATCTTATTTAAGTCACATCATCTTATTTAAGTCACATCACCTCTCTAACACATCACTTCAAACCCAATCCAAACCCAACCCATATTTCATAAAAAGTCAAAAAGTGCACTTATTTAGATTATCCCAAACAACTCCTAAGTTAACAAGTCGAATGCTTAACTTTGTTTAATTAAATTTCTTTCATCTCTTCCATTGTTTTCTTAAGTTTACTTTAATATTTCTTAATTATTTTCTTAGCAAGAAATGAAAGGAAACTAAGTTAGGAAAGGAATTAGTATGAAACAGCTAGAAAGAAAGTCAGCCTTCACTAATTTAAACATATATTTTTCTGTACTTAGAATTTTGAATGAGAAACCACCACCATTGGAAACTAAACTTCCGGGACTTGAATTTAGACTCAAGAATTACCAAAAATTGAGTCCAGATGAGAGAGAGATGCTCATTTGAAGTTGCAAGGTATAAGCTGAAACAAGGTAGGCCGCACGTGCGCCCATCTTGGCCACTCGAGTGGTGGGCCAAGACAGGCAAAAAGTATTTTGCGCGCTCGTGCATCCGATGAAGGCCGCTCGAGCGCCCAGCAAGCAGGAACGAAACCTGGGACTGTTCTTCGAGTTCTAAAGCTTTTTAACTTGATTTTCTTCATTTTCAAGTACCAAAACATGATGTCTAAGGTCCAAACATATATATATATATATATATATAAATAATGCATAACTCATGGAAAAATAGTTCTATACATTGAATTCAAAGTTCCATGAAACAATTCATAGATTTTGTTAAGAAATTCAACAGCGCCCCCCTTTATTACAATCCTCCATTTTCATCTTTTCAAACATGGATTAAACTCTCAAAAATCATCAAAACTAAAGGGGAACGTGGAATTATTACTTTCAATGATACAAAAACATCAAGAACAAGATCAAATCAATCAAACCTAGAAGTCTCTCGCTTGTTTTTTCTCTTGGTTCCATTCTTTTCCTTCTTTTCCATTTCTAGTCCAAATTAATCCTAGTTTCTTCTTGATTCTTGATGGTACGGATGTCTATTACAAGTTTTTTGGATAGAAATCTTACCTTAGACTTGTTAAGGATTGAGTTTTGGCACAAATCTTTGAGCCTCTCTTCTCTTCTCTCTTCTTTCACTCTTCCTCTCCTTTCTTCCCCTTTTCTCTAGCTTGTTATCTAATTTTCCAGCAAGTTTTCTTCTCTCTTTTTGTTTTTATTGAGTTGGAACAAGACAAACATATGTATGACAAAGAGGTAGGGTAATCTACTTACTAACTTAATCTATGTTAAGGCTAATTAAACAAGGTTGAATCCTAATATTTCTTAATGTAATTAACCTAAATTAAGGTTCATTAATCCTACTTAATTAGTACTAATCCAAATTAGCAAAAATAACAAATAACACCAAAAGAACAAGCACATTAGACCGATGCCTTTAAGCTCCTCAATTAAGATATAGGAACATCCTATGGTTTTCAAATTCTAGTTTAAAACATCCCCTAACTTAAAGCATGAAACAAGCAATATTTTGTAAGCTTAGGTTTTCAAACTAATTTCTCCTTCTCGTTTGTTCTCTTTCAAGCTCTAGTTCAAGCAAGTAAACATTTAACATGAGATTAACTTATATGAATGACATGATATGCATATGCATGGAAGGTTTGTTGTCACACTCCACCTACCAACGCTGCCATCACCGTCGCAAAGCCACCGCCTCCTTCCTCTTCATTCTTCCTCTTTATTCTTCTTCTTCTTCTTCTTCTTCTTCTTCCCATCCCCTATCTCTCTAGGAAAAAATAAAAAGAAAATCAAAGCAGAGAGGAGCAAAGGAGGACCACATCCGGCGACCCTCCATCGGTCGCAACCCACTGGTGCAAAAAAAAAAAAAAAGAAAAGAAATAGATCTGAAAATTTTAGATCTAGAGGAGGAAGGTGGAAGGGTGGTGTTAAGTTGGCTGAAGTTGGTGAGGGGGTGGGAGAGAGAAGGCCGGGGGGTGCCGGTGGTGGGAGTCACGGTGGTGGGGTGGTCGCATTGGTGAGGGTCGCCAAAGGTGGTGTTGGTTGTGGGAATCGCCGTTGGAGAGAGAGAGAGAGAGAGAGAGAGAGAGAGGAGCATAGGACTGTCTTTACATGGGTCTGTCCATGTCATTGGGGGTGGCATTGGGGGATCTCAATTAGAGGGATGAAGCATTTTTCTTCTAAGGGTATCCATAATTTTCTTTAATTTTATTAAGTATTGGATACTTTTCGAATACTAAAGTCATGTATTTGAACTATTATGAATTGAGATTGTAATAATTCTTGCATAGCATTAGAGTATAGTTGTTAGAATGATTACAATAATACTTTTTTCAATACTTTGCTTACTTCTTAGAGAAGAAGATGATAGTGAGATTAAAGTTACTTTTTTAGAATTTATCGAATTGGCATATCCTTAATGTGTCTTGTGTCGTGTAGATACATATCCATATTTTATAGAAAGTATGGATAAATAAGAAAATTTAATGATACTAAAATTGGATTTGAACAATTAAACATGAGGCAATCTAAACAGTTTAAACTTTATATTTAAATGAAATTTTTATAGGACTTACTGAAAATAAATAAAAAAGTAAATCGACTAGCTCTTAAACTAATACTTAATTCTTTAAGAATAAATTTTCACCATTCTTTTAGCTTATGTATAATATAATACTAAAAATTATTAAAATATATAATTTTTATGAACCTATCATGGCTGTACCCATATGTTATTTTTTTATATTTTGTCGTGTCGTCATATTTATATCATATTTGTGTCTTGTATGCGTATCTATGCTTCATAGTTTATTATGATTCCCATATTCTATGAACAGGTGAAGATTAACAAACTTAATAATGCCATTTTACTGAACTGGAAGCTTTAATTTCTCAAGCAAATGGTTGCTTGTCAAAATAAATAAATAAATAAAAATCAATCAAATGTTTGGAAAAATAAAATTCTCTGGTGATGCAGGTAATGCTCCTCTGGATTGCCTCCTTCTGGTCAGTAGGATCTTGGATAATTCCATTCTTGGCCCAGACAGCAGGCTTCCGAAAGGAATCCTTGTCATATAGAGGGCAAGCTTTATACAGCCTTTTGACAGACGTGGCTGAAGGTCTTGCTGGGATTGCTATTCTCCACCGCTGCCTTGCAAGGTTCTGTCCCCTACCATCCGACTGGTTCAGGTTTAGCCTTGAAGGGAATTGGCATTTTGATGTTGGTTTGGGCTGCCTCATGTTTCCCTTCGTCAACCGGCTGTCACAGGTCAATCTAAATTTGTTGCCAGTTCTTCCCTCTACCCCTGTCACTGTCTCGAGTGTCGAGCAATCAATTGTTGCACGTGATCCAGTGGCGATGGCCCTCTATGCCATTGTAGTGTCAGTTTGTGCCCCAATTTGGGAGGAGATTGTCTTCCGTGGGTTTCTTCTCCCTTCTCTGACCAGGTACATGCCCATATGGTGCTCAATTCTTGTGAGTTCAGTAGCTTTTGCCTTGGCACATTTCAATTTGCAGAGGATGTTGCCACTTGTATTCCTTGGGGTGGTGATGGGTGCTGTTTTTTCTCGGTCAAGGAACCTTTTGGCATCCATGCTCTTGCATAGCCTCTGGAATGCCTTTGTATTCCTGGATCTTATGAAATGATATTCTTGTTATGTATTTTTATATTTATTAATCAGGTCTATTTGTCATTTCTTCTCTTGATGTGTATAATTGTAGTGTCAGTTTATAGAATAGACATTCCCCATTCCATTCATGCAACTTGAAACTTGTATGTGTAGACATTGATGAACTTTGAAAACCATCTGAATAACCATCTCCAGTTTGTTTGTTACCAACTGCAATTCTCCACATATTAATATGAAGGATACTACTGTCATTTCGCATTTTCGAGGTGATGAATCTAGGGGTGCTTCTAAATACACCCTTAAAAATTCTTTACACACCTACCCTCTTTCCCAAGGGACTGTATTCATTGAGGACTGCTCTCGCAGTGGTGGGTGTGGAGAATTTTTTGGGTTGTATTTAGAAGCATATGAATCTAGGGGAGAAGTCCGAGTTCTATGATCAACCTTCTGACACTTCTGGAGTACCCTGCTGTTTTCGTTCACCAATGTACAGAGCATTCATGCCGTTTCCGAGGACTCCCTCTCTGATGGCACGTAGTCTGCTCTCTGTAAATCCTAGTTCACACCTTACTGACAACAAAAGTGGTGAAAAAGAGCTATTTTAGTTTCATGTGGATAAAGTTTTGATGATTGCAAGGTGTTCTTGATATATTGATTAAGTATTTGTGTTTCTCCACTAGTTTATGCATCTTTTACAATTTAAAAAAAAGAAAAAAAAAAAGGGAAGGATGGAGAGAGAGAGAGAGAGAGAGAGAGAGAGGAAAAACATTCTCCTTGGAGTATGATTGGTTTTATGAATGTTTGGATACTTTTGCAAATTGTTTTTTGTCTTGGTGGAGGACATCAAGGGGGACCAATTGGTTTCAAGTCACTTTCTCTATCTGCTTCTTGTCTCTGCTGCATTTGCTGACGTCGGTGTCTTTCTCCGACAACTCTAGGGACCCCCTTGTCTGCCATATTTTTGTTACTTTAGATTGTTCACAAATTTTAATTAGGCCAGTTCTGATTGAAAAGGACGTAATTTTTTTTCGAGTTTAAACTTGAGAAGAGTCGAACTCACCACCACTCAGACCGTTAGTGGATATGAAAGCCCGAAATTTCCTTACTATTAGAACTTGGTGATTTTTGTTTTTATCCTTTAGATATCAGACATATCTGTTTTATTGATTCAAGGTCAATAATATGGCTATGTATGTTGATGAGCATCATTTAAATTTTTTCTTTCGTTTATATATAGAAAACGGAATTTTCCATGTCTAGCAATTCTGTTGTGATGTTGCAATTCTTGTATTTTATTTTTATTTGTTTTAAAGGAATGTGTTATTAGTTATCCTGGGAAAAAATGTGCAAATTTATTATTGTGTTTGATGAAATGTCTGAACCCTGAAGTTTGCCATGGAATATTACAGTGGGCAGGCTTGAGCATACTATGATTCTTGATGGCATGACCTTTATTGAACATTTATTATTAAGGGGCACTTGAATTTCTGAACTAAAATTGCGATATGAATATCATAGAATTATAGCCGAAGCCTTTTAAAGATAATATTTGCCCTTACCAGGTGGTGTCTATCGGGTTATAGCAACATAGAAAACTTGCTTGGAGAGAGACCCAATGACAATCGGGTGCCATTTGATCCGTCCAATTGTGTAGTAATAGATCAAATACACAACTATTCACTTGGTGTCAACACTAATTGATGTCACATAGGTCTCGCACTGATGTGTTTGTGCAAAGTGCACCACATAGATCACTACTCGTGCTCGTGAGCTTGTGATTGCACACTAACATCCTCCATAAGTTCATAGTCAAATGAAAATCTTATGTCATGTTTTGTTCTCTTAAGTAAGACAAGTTCCTAAGCCTCCGTTTGGGAAGTGGGTTGGCTTTTTGGCTTTTTTGACTATTTTAGCCTAGGCTAAAAAGCTTGGTTTGGGAAGAGTTTTTTGACTTTTTGGCTTTTTTGACTTTTTTTTGTGAGAGAATAGTGTAATGATTATGGGTTGGATGTGATGTTTTGTTTGTTATGGTTACAATAGCCTATTTTGTTTTTTGTGGCTAAAATAGCCAAAAAAGCCTGAAAACTTTCTTCCCAAACGGTGCCTTATTATATTTCAAGCTATTCAAATATAATTAAGGAAGCTTTTGAAATACTCAAAAAACATTGAATTTTATTTTGAAAATTCCCCAACAACATGTTCAATAATTTCTTCTCCTCCCTCTTGAAATCATTATATAATCACATGTCAAGTACTACTTACTACGTTGTGGTAATAATTACTTATTAATAATCAACGTTGAGTAGTTGCGATGCAAGCTTCATAATAATGAAGTCAACCTTTCAAACCTGGTTGTACCTAATCTTATGTCATGTTTTGTTCTCTTAAGTAAGACAAGTTCCTAAGTATACTTCAAGCTATTCACATATAATTAAGGAAGCTTTTGAAATACTCAAAAAGCATTGAATTTTATTTTGAAAATTCCCCAACAACATGTTCAATAATTTCTTCTCCTCCCTCTTGAAATCATTATATAATCACATGTCAAGTACTACTTACTACGTTGTGGTAATAATTACTTATTAATAATCAACGTTGAGTAGTTGCGATGCAAGCTTCATAATAATGAAGTCAACCTTTCAAACCTGGTTGTACCTAACTAAAAATTACTAAATAAAAGTACCAAACATTCATGATCTAGTTGAGTGTACATTTTTTTTCCAGAGTTGACGAGAAACGTTGGATAGCGCAAGACTACATTTTAGTCATTTCCATTTATTTACTTATTGGAAGCGGCTTGGAATATTTCATAGGATGGTGCATGAACCTGTTTTTCCCCATAACCCCACTCATGAGCTTTTTGCTTTTGATTGTTTGTTACTGTTTTGGATAAATTACACTCGTCTTTCTTCATATTTAAAGAAAATATAGTTAATAATATATTTTGAGATAATTATATTAGTTTTTTTTTTTGGAAGTTTTAATTCAGATAACAATTAGTTTTTTTTTTCATCAATAATTTGTTAATTATATATGAATAAAAAATTGATATTGTCATCTATTTTCAAGTTGTTTTATACTAAAAAGAAGGTAATATAATTATGTCAAAAAGTGTGAAATTAACTATATTTTCTTCAAACCTTAAAGGAGGTGAGTATAATTTACCCTATATTATTTTTTACAAAGTAGTGTAATGAAGTTGTGAAGGGACACCATCTTCGTTTGTGGGGCTTACAATTCTGTTGCTTTCCTCCTCTTTTCTTTTTGAACTACTAACATAATCAAAAATGCTAGAGACTTACAATTTGCACCCACAATGATGTGACAAAAATGGTAGGTCCCATATAATTGAGTGTATAATCAACAAAAAATTGATACCTGTCAGATCACATCATTGTAGGTTGAATTGTGAGAGATTTTTGAACGTCTCAAACATTTTTCTCACATAATTGTCTCTAGTCAAGACAACCACATATACAATTGTTGTGGGGGATGATTGTGGTAAGCTATTATTTATAATTATGTGTATATATAGGTACATATATAGGCATATCTGCCATGATAGGAGGTCCTTTCCTATACCCACCTTGCATAGCTTCAAACTATACCTCTCATTCTGTGCATACCCTGATCTGATCTATTGGCAGCCATGGATGCTTCCCAACCTCTTTCCATTGAAAGCTTCTCATATAGTTGGTTAGTGAACCTAAAACCATCTTTCGAAAGCCTAGACGATGCATCCGATGAAGCCTCTTCCTTCATCGACATGGACCCAAAATTGACAGCCTCAAAGAGATTCTTCAGAGCATCCCAAGACATCAACTTTGATTTTCCTATCTCAGAGTCTCCTCTAACTCTTGTTCATGCCGATGAGCTCATCTCCAACGGCTTCGTCATGCCTCTTTTTGTTAAGCCATTGAAGATGGAAGCTTACTCCAATCCAACGACACCGATCTCTTCTTCACATGTCCAGAAGAACAATGTCCTTTCAGCTAGTAAGATTCGGTGTTCATCATTAAGAAGGTGTCGGAGATTATCAAACCGAATTTTTCAGAAATACTTGGAATTTATTAGGCCATTGTGTCAAAAACTACGAGGACAAAGATCTGGGTCTAGAGCTGGAGCTGCTGAATCAAGAATGCAAAACTGGATATATCCTTCGCCTGCAGCATCTCCGCGGAGTAGTGTAGCTTACTCTGTTGATAATTGGCGAAAGTCGTGTGATTCTGAGAGCTCGATATATGAGGCAGTTCTGCATTGTAAAAGATCAATTGGTATGCTAAATTCCTTTTTCTTTGCACTGCCACATTGTTAATACTTTGTGAAAATTTTATTAGTTTTTTGACGTTGTATAGAACTCTGCTATTTTGCAGGTAAATAGATATTGAGGAGACTATATTGTTGCATAGAACAGAACAAAGAAAGGGAAGAAAGAGATGAGAGGTGCCAAGATGATCACGAGTCACTTACTTCTCTCTCCCTGGATGGATAATAATGTTGTAGGTTTTGTCCTTGTAGGGAAGTAGAGGTTGTATAGTTGGCCATTGAAATTCTGGTATTTGGGAAAGAGGGAGAAAGATAAATTTGTAATTCCATGTTTGCCTTTTCCCTATTGACCAGTAAGGAATCTCCCCCTTCTGAAGTTTTCATTCAATGAAATGAGAATTAGTTTATTCATGTTTGTTTTCATATGCAACCAGACATTATCATCCCTTGATTGGTGCAGCTTATTGGGTTACTTACAGGTTTTTATTTTATATTTTTTTATAAATATTGTGAGAATTTGTGTTGGTATATTTGGTGCAACTTTTAAATTACGAAGCTAAAATAATTTAAATAAATTGAAAAAACTGGTTATTAGAAGTTGAAAGAATGATGCTTTTAGCTTGTTTTGTGATTATAACTTTCAGCTTAGAAAAATCACCTCCTCACATCTTTAGCTTAATGATGGAACATGAGAGCATGTACAACAGAGGTCAAAATTGCTATTGTTTTGAGATTTTTGGTATTATCATGTGATGAATTTCATGCGTTGGTGAGAATAAATTCAGAATTAATTGAGTGTTGCGAAATCCAGGTTGAATTCAATTATTAAAAATTTGAAACAAAAATTTCCCTGATGTTAATTGGGTTGAAGTTGAAGGATCAATGTTTTATGCTGAGCTCATGATATACATATATATACACACTAGAGATGAGCAGACTACGTTTGAGCAATTTATAATTGGATCGAATAACTTTATTCGAAATATTTGGAGAGAATTCAACCAGTTTCTGGCAATTATCATGTTTTGGAGGCATTTTTGAAAAACAAAAAAATTATGCAACGTCTACACCAATAGATGTGTTTGCTTTATATATTAACTAGTGGATAATACACATGTGATGCATGTGCAAATACATGTGATTGAGAAAAATAAAAGATGAATGATTGAAATTTTGAATATTTGAATAATTTTTTCTTCGTGACAATTTTCAAACTGTCATGGGTATTTTTAGAATATAAAATGTGTGACGTTCACACTATTTTTAGATTTCACTTTGTATATGATAGATAGATAGATAGATGAATACCTACATGGTGTGCATACCCATATGGTTGTATAATTACAAAATAATGTATAGATGTACATTTATAGAAAAAGGTAACTGCTCTTAATGCTGTGTTTGGTTGGAGGATTTGAGGAAGGATTTGAAAAAGGAAATGAAAAAAGTAGGTGAAATGTGAATAAATCATGCCTATATTTCACATAATTTCACACACCTTTTCCCTTTCCTTTTCCAAATCCCTCCCCAAATCCCCTAACCAAACACAGCAAGAGTATTTTCGAAAACAAGAATTCTATGACATCATAATACCAATTATAACCTACCAATTACAACCTTTATATTTATATATATATATATATATATATATTAGGAGGGAAAGAAAAACCAAATCATAACTAAAGTTATAGTACCACAAAGAAATTCAATACAAGAATCTCTCATTAGATCAACCTTTTCATTTGAAGTAACAAATCTCGCTTACTTTCCAGATTTTTTTACCGTGTAGTATATGTTTTTGGAACATGACATTGCAATTCTCAAGGAAAAATACATACAATTGTGATTCGAGTTTTGCTTGTATATATGATTGTGTACCTAGTTTATTTATTTATTTATTTATTTTTTTTCGTTTTATAGTGGGGAAAAAAAAAATACTTTCACCCCTCAAATTTGTGTTTGGGTTTTTTGTTTTTCATTTTTTTTTTGTTTTTTGTTAATAGTTTTAAAATTTTAAATATTTTTTTAGATGCACCTTACTTAGATATATTTACAAATTAAATATTTGTAAAAAAATATTTAAAAAAATATAAATATATATTAAAATATTTTTTAAAGATTTTTGATATTTAGTGAATTTTTTAAAGATTTTTTTCATAAATATTATATTTTTTAAGTGTATTTATGTTAAGTGTATCTAAAACTTTAAAAAATTACTTAAAATATTAAAAAAATTCAGTAAAAAAAAAAAATATGAAAAATAAAAAATTTCAATTTTTTGAAAAGTGAATACTGAGTTATTTGTTTGTGTTACTTTACCACTATCAATTTGAACAATCTTCCTTTAATTGACATTAATTTGATTAATTTTAAACTGGCAATAGAGTTAGTAATTTTGATCCAAAAATAAAAATAAAAATAAAAATTGATAATATATTACACTTGTGGACACACAAATTTTTTTGTGCAGTTGATTTTCTTAATTTGATTGTATTAAGATGTAGTAGTTTACTACAATTAGTTGCGTTTTATATTTTATTAAATATTTTAAAAATAATTGGTTATACTTTATTTCATGATATCTCAATATTTTTCTCCTTACTATGAGCCAAAGTAAATTAATACTCTTAATCAATCACAAGTATACGGACAAGTGTAATATTCGATCAAAAATATCAAGCATTTGGGGTAAAGTAAACTAATATCAATAGGCCAAAGGGATAATAATTTAAATTTATGGTTCAATGGATAAAATAACATAAGTAAGGTTGGTAATAAATTGAGCCGAACTGAGGCAAGTTTTCTAGGGATCAAGCTTGGCTTGTTTGTTTATTGAACTCAGAAAACAAGCTTGAGCTTGGCTATTTAATATTAATTTCGCTCAAGTTCGACTCGAAACTCAATAATGAAAAAAAAGTTTTGGCTTCATAATCAAACTCAAATGGCTAGTTAAATATTATTCTATATATGAAATGTACATATTATAGATATTCCATTTTGACCGACCCTAAGATTTCGAGTGCTTGCAAGCCTTCTGATGATGAAATGGTAATTATTTCATCTTTAGAATATTTAAAGTTGTATGGAGTTGCTGTATAAACTCGTTTAGGACAAAAATCAAATTTTTGCAAAATGACAATTTTACTCCTAAACCAATTTTTAGCCAAAAACTAACTCTTTAACCCCAAGAAAGAGAGAAAGGCCCTGCTATACTTTGATCAAATATATATTTCAAAACTAGTGACCAGTTTTCTCAAAAAATCGATCAGAAGGCAATTCGGGTTTACTTGAGCCACAAGCAAGACAAGGGCATGGGACCCTGCACTTGCGCATGCATGCATGACACATGTACCAAGGTAAAATGTGAATGCACATGTTAGTTGTGAATGCGCACATCCAAACGTGCCAGAGACAGATATGGAAACTCAATCTTAGTGCATTTTCAGTGGGACGCAGCAAAGGAAGTGATGGGGGTTGCCCTACCTTGCCCCCCACACCTCCCCAAGCCTATAAATAAAGCCTCTCCCTCTCCCTTTCAAGGGGTTAAGATTTTGGAGCCATTTTGTGAGCTTTTAAGAGCAAAAACACCTTCTTCCCTCGCCCTTCTGTGCCTTGACTCTGAAAATAACACACACAACAACTCTACAACACATGGAAACGTTCTAAGGCTTGAAGAACTCGAACACGTTTAGAAACTCAAGTTTGAGGAAGGCTTGTCAGAAAGAAACTCACATTTTCTTGCTATTATCTTCACGCGTTCTTTGGGTTAAGCAGTCTAGTAGGTAAACCCCTTTTTATTAATTTCAGTACTGCATTTGGTTTTATTTTGGTATCCAACCATGCTAGGGTGTTAATTTGTCATTCCATCATGTAGGGTGTTAGTTTTATCCATTTTTTCGCTTTATTTCACATGTTTTTGTTTTCTTTTTCTTCTTAGAACAATATGCTTAGGGTGTTCTAGTCTTTATTTCTGCATGCATATGGGCCGATTTAAGCATTATGTACAATAGTTTTGCATTATTTTGTGTGTTATTTGTGCATTAAGTAATGTTAGAACCCTTAAACCGAGCCTAGGTTGCATTTTTGTATGTATTAGTTGCATGATTAGGCCATATTTATTTTAAGTATTGCATGTAAGACGTTGAAAGTGGGCATACGGGTAAGTTCTCTATTCCTCCATAGCATGTGCTTGTTATTTGTATAATCTTTTAAATAATGTAAGTTTCTATGTTTATCTATGCAAAATTGTGTGTTTTGTATGTTTTTCATGAGTATTGCTTAACTTAGTTCATGAATATGATCATGTCGTTAAAAAATCCATGTTTTGCAATAAAATCTTTTTTTTTTTTTTTTTGTGGAAAATTATATGGTTTTATTCATAGAATCTAAGTTAGGTGATATTTATTTTTCAAATCACATAGTTGTAGGTTAGTTAAGGATTTAAAATGAATTTGTATGAATAATTAACCACTAAAATCATAAAATACAAAGTTAGTAGAGGCCAATCTTCAGATTGGGCAAAAAAAAGGTGCTATCATTCAATGACCTTCCCTTTTTGTACCTAAGCTCCTGAACTTGAAATTTTTCTTGGTTGTGATGAACTAGTCCTTGACTTAATTTTCATTGTTAAAGGTTTTTTTAATTCCCCTTTAAAAATTAAGTGGTGACTCTTTGTTGGTCAAAGTGAGTTGGTGTGGGAAATGTGCCTTAGAAATGAAAAAAGGCACAACACCCACATATATATAAAACATTTTATATTATTTTTAATATAAAAATTGTAACGCCCCAAATTAATGAACCTTTGATAATCCCATATTAGTTCATTAATACAATCTACTATCCGATTAGTTACACACTTCACATGTGAACAAGATGTACAATTTCTATCATCCATTTAATCATCAAGTCTCCAAATTTGTATTCATGACATGCTCAAGAGGCTACAAAACACACCACAAGCAAATATACATTCATTGCTTTCTAGAATCTAAATCCATAACATGTAGCGACAATAGTTAAGTAATATAAACACAAAATAATGCCCCACGGGCTACAAGTTCTAAGGCTTAAGCCTGGTTACAATTAAGTGGTTATCACAACCCACAAATATTAGCCCTTGTCTTGACAAAAAGAATCACAAGTAAATGAGCCTCGTGCTTCAAAATAATTCTCCACACCTTCTTTTCGGTGAGGTCACATCATCTTTACCAGCAAATGGTTCCACTAGGGGTAAGTATAAAGCCCAAGAGAGAAATCTTAACAAAGTATATATATTTTAAGCAACCTCCAGGGATGGATGCATATGCCATACCATGCCAAAAATGTAAATTTTTTTCATTTGAAAATCTTACGCAAGATGTTCGTTCAAAAAACATGATTAATTCAATAATTTCAATATATCAATAAGGGGTGGTGGATTTGAC